TTTTAATCATAATTTTGTATGAGTTTTTTTGAACGTATTATATTCTAAAATCTGTAAGTAATTGATTTCAGGTATCCCGAAGGGTGCGTATGGTGTATCCCCCTAAAAAGGACTTTAATAAGGTTTAAATTAGTAGAAAATATACGATTATGCTTTTACCCTTGAAAAAAGGGCGTTATTTAAAAAAACTATAAAAAACAAAATCTTATTTTATTTTTTATAGTTTTAGAGAGGATGCTTTGATCTTTAAAGAATAAGAGTAAGAAAGAAGTGAGAAGAAAGTAAGAAAGAAGTAAGAAAGAAGTGAGAAGAAAGTAAGAAAGAAGTAAGAAAGAAGTGAGAAGAAAGTAAGAAAGAAGTAAGAAAGAAGTGAGAAAGAAGTGAGAAGAAAGTAAGAAAGAAGTGAGAAAGAAGTGAGAAAGAAGTGAGAAGAAAGTACGCCCTTTTTTCATTTCGAGAAATTAAAAACTTAGTCATGACTAAGTTTTTGATTTTGAATAGTCCGTTTCTGTTCCCAATACTTTGAAAACTCGTTTTACAGTTTCTTGATTACAGTTTTTTGGATCCCTCAAGATATTTCCAAGCCAATTTGCAAACGTTGGGTAGTCCATTGTGCCTGCAAGCTCTGAAAGACTGCCTAATTTGCACAGAATTGCGCTGTATTTTGCGATTTGAGGCTCTGTAAGCGGTTTTAGGGATTGTTCCTCTGTCTGATCTCTTTTTGGCGTTTCTGTGGCAATTTGAGCTTGTTTTGGCTTCTGCTTGAACTTGAATGAGAATCCTGTGATCACACGCCCTTTTTTGTGTTGCTCATAACTCGCTGTTATATCTGTTTGTTCGTTAATTTCTCTAATTGCAGGTTCAAGAACACGCTTTTTAAAATCACTCATTGCTTTGTATTCATTAACCCCAATTCCTAGCTGATCTCTGAAATTATTTAGCTCAAAAATAGGGGTTTTACTAACGCTTTTCCACTGAACAAGAAGCTCATAAAGCCTTGCAGAATATACACTTGAAAGTTTGGCAGTTTGACTTAAAAGATATTGCGTAAAGAACTCTTTCACCCCATCAATTCGACTAATTCCATGAACAACTGCCATTGTGAAAGCAAGTTCCATTGCTCCCTCATCATCAAGATATTTTACTTGTTGTATCCAACGGCTTTTTACCAATTTTCCATCTTCATCATAGAAACTAAATCTACGATTGAATAACGTATCTTCTGCCTCTTTCATACGCTGATAAGCATTCTGGCGACTAGTACCAAATACTTCTGCATATCGCATAGCATCAATTCTTAACGGCTTATCTGTACTTAGTCCTGTTCCTGTTTCTCGTGCATCAACAATCGCAAGCTGAACAATATGCAACTCTGCAAGAGTTAGGACTTGGAAAGCTTGATTAAGGCGATTGGTTTTGACAACTAAATCTTTGCTCATATTGGGGTAACCAAACGTCTTTTTAGAGCCATATTATCATTAGTCACTAAAAAGACAAATAAAAATATGTCTTATATGGGTAACTAAACGTCCTTATATGGGTAACTAAACGTCCTTATATGGGTAACTAAACGTCCTTATATAGGGCTTGAAAGCATTGATATATGGGGCATACAGCGATCGGAAAAGCATTTAAAAGCATTTAAAAACATTAAAAGCCATTTTCATCATGAAAATTGCCCTATGTTTTCGCTAAAGCTCAAACTTTTTGCCTTCGCTTTGCTCAGGTAAGGGGCAATTTTTAGCAAATAACAGTAAAGAATCAGAAGAAAAAAAGCATTTAAAAATCTAATTAGCAAGGATACACAAACCCGTATTTATACAAATACTGTCTAGTGACCTTGTAAGGGAGGCTTCGCCCCCTTAACCCCTAAAATCAAGAGCAAAAATGGCACTTCGCTACGCTCGTGTCTTTTCAAAAGCAAAAACGCACGATAGTAAAAATTTGCATGAATTTTTATGCTGAAAAAAGCAGTAATCAGCGAGGGGAATAATCAAACTTTCTTTGGGTCGCTCACACTCCGTGAGCTTTGTTAATTCTGTTTGTAGTCAATATTATTGCCACTTTGAT